GCTCAAGAAAATTTATTTTCTTTTCCAAAATTTGGAAACTTTTTGTATTGCTTTGATTTAATATTTTAATATTGATTGTTTGAGTGACCCTAGTAGCGAGACTCAACCAGGCTACCCCATGCCTATTCCATATAGCCCCCGACCTAAATAAACGAAGTATTCTAAGGGCTTCAACTCAAGTGCTCAAACAATATTTTTCTTCATTTACTTTATATTATTTTATTTTTACCTAGCCATTTATTACATTTTTTTCTTTTCGACTCAATGGTGTCGGTTATCACTTCCTTTTGGGATTTGTTGCTTAGGGGGACAAGGGTGTCGTGACCACTTATTCCAACCTAAGTTGGTGTTCCAGTATATATATTATATTTATTTCAGCATCTTGATAATATGTAAATAACCAAAATTGAGAAAAAAGAAAAAGATTTTCTAAAGACTAACTTTACTTAAGTAGTAGATTAGGACAAAAAAATTAGTTTGAAAACTGCTTCATATATTTCTAAATAAATTGTGCACATTGAACTTAACTAATTAAATGGTATGAAATTAAACAAAAACAAGTTCCGAATAGATTTGGCGTAAAAGAAATGATTTAAAGTTTATAGGAGCAAACTTAATTTTTAAAGAAATTCAAACATATTTGTTACAAAATTAATTAATTTCAATTTAATGCAAAATATGCAACACTTAAGAGTGCTAAAAGATTAAAAGAAGCTATTATGATTTTTAATTTTTCTTGAAATCTCTTTTTCTTATATAGATTTTTATGTGAAAGATTACTATTTTCTTTAAAAACTTTTAAAAATTTTAAATTTTTTATAACCAAATTACATCTAAAATGCTAAATTCGTCACGAGATACCTTTTTTTACCCAATGCATGCTCCTAGTATGGGTATAAAAACTTGCAAACAAATTTTTTTCCTAAAATATGCGTAACTAAATGCAAAAAAGCATCTCCCCACACTTAAATCATGCAATGTCCTCAATGCATGTAAATGAAATAAAAATAATGAACAAATGCACGTTCTTAATGAAACAATTAACAAAATGGAACATGAAAAATAATAAAATAGATGTAAGATTATAAGAAGGGATCATAAGATATGACAATTAAGTGCAAGTAATTAAAGACAAGAATAAATATAAAAAAAGGAAATAAAATGCATAAAAGTAAATTCTAAAGTATCTGGGTTGCCTCCCAGAAAGCTGTCCTCTTTTAATGTCTTTGGCTAGACTCTTAATTTGTTGTGCTCGGGACATCATGGAGAATCCAGATTGTACTCTTAGAGCAACTCCAATGGGTCTTGTATATTGTAAAAAATACATTATATACAAGACCCTATAGCAAAATTGTCACTCCAATGGATAGGGCAAAATTAACACTATATTGTAAAAAGCAAGTCTCACCTTGTATTAATACACTACATGCTATTCCCATCTTGTAAATTCATTTTTTCTATATATTTATTAAAATACATTTATATTTCTTGTTTCTTATAAAAATACTCAATATATGTATAGTTTGAAATGCATGTACCATAAAAAATTTAAAAATATAAATATTATTACAAATAAATATTTTAAAAATAATAATATATATAAAAAAGTGTATTATTTAAGAGAAATGATTCGAGGAGTGTTGGCGGATATTTGTAATTAACCGTAGATATTTATGTTATTGGGCCCGTACTTGTTAGCCCGTTTATGTACTTGTATATATACCGGTTTGTGATTAATGAAAACGAGATCACTTTCGGCTAAAATTTCTACATGTTATAGGAGCCTAAACCCTAGGCTTACGCGTGTTTCTGCTCTCCGGCGTGTGTGCGATCGTCTGACGCCGTGTTCCCTGTGTGTTCGCCGAACAGTATCCTCCTCTTAAACGGAAGACCTGATCTTGCGCTGCTGGTTTATGCCTTTAATTGTTCCTTTTTTTGTGTGCTGCTAATTTGATCGTGCAATTGACATCATGGGCTGCTAAAGTATTGATATTGTGTGCAATTTGATATCTTGCTGTGTGCGCTGCCAATTTGATATCGTGTGCTGCTGCCATTTTTTTCTGTCTTTGGTTTTACTCTGTCTTTGATATCTTGCTGATCGGCTGAGGGGCAGTGGGTTGTTGATCTGCTGAATTTGGCCCCGTGTCTTTTGAGGGGGAGTATCGCACTCGGGTATTTGCTGCTGCCTGTGTTTTCTCTGTTGATTCTACACATCTATTTCTGAAAATTGCACGGTATGTCTCTTCCTGTGCCCTGTGAGTGACTCGTGGATAGTGGTGCATCTCATCATATGACAGGGGTGCTTTCGTGTTTGACTGACATAGTGCAAAGGCCTCCTTGTACTATAAGCTTGCCCGATGGGGCTCATGTGGTGGCAAGTTCTTGTGGTCGGGTGCAAGTGTCTCCTTCTTTAATTTTACACAATGTTCTTTATGTTCCTAATTTAAAGTGCAATTTGATATCAGTGAGCTGTCTTGTCAACTCACATAACTGTCATGTTTTCTTTAATGATCATTCTTGTGTGATACAGGACCGAACTACGAAGACGCGGATTGGTCAATGTGAAGCACGCAACGGGGTCTATGTCTTTCCTTCTCAAGCCCAAGCATTCAAAGCCAAGTCAGTTTTCTTATTCCACCAACGTCTTGGTCATCCGTCTCCTCAAGTTTTGTCTCTACCTCCATTTAATAAGAGTAATACTGAAATTAAAAATTTTCAGTCTTGTGATATTTGTTTCTTTTCCAAACAGACACGCTCCCAATTTACTCCCAGTACTAATAAAGCTGAGCAATTGTTTGATTTGATTCATTGTGATTTGTGGGGACCATATTTTCCATGTATTTCTACTGGGTCACATTACTTCCTTACTATTGTGGATGATTTTTTCTAGAGCTGTTTGGGTTTTTCTGCTTATTAAGAAAAGTGAGGTCACTAGTTGCTTGAAACAATTTTTCTCTCTTATTCACACTCAGTTTCATAAAATCATAAAAGTTGTTCGTTCTGACAACGGTACTGAGTTCCTCAACCGGCCCCTTCGTGAATTCTGTACAAGTAAGGGAGTTCTTGTTCAAACCTCTTGTGTCAATACTCCACAGCAAAACGGTCGGGTTGAGCGTAAGCATCGCCATATTCTTAATGTTGCTCGTTGTTTAATGTTTCAAGCCTCTTTGCCTATTGAGTTTTGGGGGGAATGTGTTCGCACCGTTGTTTATCTCATAAACCGTACACCCACTCCACTTTTACAAGGTAAATCTCCTTTTGAACTTCTTTCTTCAAAACCTCCAGACTTGTCTCACCTCCGAGTTTTTGGGTGTCTATGTTTTGTCTGTAATATTCAACGTCCTCCCAATAAATTCTACCCTCGTAGTCTTAAATGTATGTTCGTGGGATATCCTACGGGAACTAAAGGTTGGCGGGTTTATGATCTTGAGTCTCATCGTTTCTTTCATACCCGGGATATTTCGTTTGACGAATATGTCTTCCCGTTTGCTTTACGTAAAAACCCGTCGCCCCAAGTCTGCCATTCCCCATCTCATGTCCATGCCGATTTTCCCAGCCCCCCGTCCCAGCTGGTTGTCCCCACGGCTTCTCCCAGCGGCGGCAACCCGGTAACCCCCACATCTTCTAGCGGCAGCGACGAGGGCTCTGATCATGATAGCCCTGTCAGCTCCCCGTCCCCGTCACCCCCACCCCCAGTTCGTCAGCATCGACCACCCCCTCACCTACCCGATTATTATTGTCATACCGTCCTGACATTGGCTCCTATTGCTCTTTCCGTTACCTCTTCTCGATCTTCAGGTACT